AATATTTTTTTTTTTTTTTTTTTTTTTTTTTTTTTTTTTTTTTTTTTTTTTAAGTAACATTTTCTAGAGCGGCAAAGATCTGACTCTGTTTACCCAGAGCTGAGGTTGGCCTCTTATCATTCCTGTCTGACTGATCCTCTTCATGTGCTAAGTATCTTTGAAGTCCTAAAGGAAGGCCACTGAAAAAGGCCTCTGGAACAGAGCTATCAGTTGTGGACACACACACACAAAGTTGCTGGGACTCAGATAGTAAATGTTCTCCCAGGTCCCAAGCTCAGAGGAGCAAGCCCAGAGGCAGGCAGTGGGAGAAATAAGCCATAGTAATATCCTGAGGGTTTGGAGACAGGAACAGCCAGCCACTGCTCCTTTTGTGGAGGGCAGGCCTCTATCTCAGGCCCCCTGCACAGGGAGACCTCAGAAAAGGTGTGTGGACTGAGGAGGATGCCCCGAGGCTTGGGCAAAGAGAGCTGGGAGCCCAGAATGAGCCAGGCCTGGGCACCAGAGGAAGCTCTAAATGCGGGGCTCAGGCACAAGGGCAGCCCATCAGCCCCAGGAAAATGTTGTAGGCAGCTCTAGGAAGGGAGGACTTGGCTCTTATGGGGGAATGGATGTCCAGAGGCAATGAAACCCAGTAGTCCAGTTTTAACTACGTGACCTCAAGCCAGTTGTTTACTTTCCCTGAACCTCAGTTCAGTGGGATTGCTGTGATAATTAAGTCTCTGTAGAAGTCTTTTTATATTTTTATTTTCATTTACTTATTCATCTTTTGTACCAGGGATCAAACTCAGGACCTTGTGCTTGTGAGGTAGGCGCAGTGCCAGAGCTAAATCCCCGGCCTGCTCTGTAGAATTCTTAATGCAGTGGCTCTAGATCAGGGTCAGGCTGGTAGAAAGGTTGATGTTGAACCCCATCTGCTACTGATGATGTACTTGCATTCCTTCGGCCCCCAATTTAGGATAGAAATGCTCCCCAAGACTGGCACACAGAGGTAGCCCAGACCTGAGGCAGTAGAGCAAAGAGCTCATGCAACTTCATAGGCCATTGCTTATGGAAGATGATGGTTTTATTTTTTCTAAGTTTGGAGGAGCCTAAATAAGCCCATATAAGATTAGTTTCTAGCAAAGACCATGTCATATGCTTCATCTTGTGCTGTGGTCTACCTATAAAATATGTTAGGGAGATCTAGAATATAAGAAATTTGGAAGGAACTGCAAAAGTCACCCTATTTGATCATCCTTCTGGTGTAATAATCTTTCTATGATAAACGGTCACTGTTGAACACCTCCAGGCCTGGGAAACTCAGTACTACCTGGCTAGTTCAGTCTTTAGCCAGCTCTCAGTATTTCCTTCTTACATTGACCTCACTTCTATGTTGCTTTCATCCATCAGTCATCTTTCTTCCCTTGGTCTGCAAAATAAATCGAAATCTCTTTCCATTTGGTACACACATGGATGGTAATTGACAAGCTGCTGTTGCGCGGGGGATTTAGCTCAGTGGTTCCACTGCCTGCCTCCAAGTGCAAGGATCCAAGTTTGATTCCTGTACCAAATAAGGGGGGGGGCTTCTTTGTCTTTAATAGATGTTGTGTTCCTGTGAATCTTCTCTTCTCCAAGCTGAATGATCTATTTTCCTCTTTTTTTTAAAGTGCTGCAGAGGTTATGACTTTTGCCTCATAGTGATTTAATTTATTTTCAAACTGTTTTTTCCAGAAGTAGTCAAACCCTTTATAAATATTTTAAATATATTTTGCCCATTCTGATTTTTCTCCATAACTCTACCAAAAGGAGATAAATTGGTTTGTTTTCCATTGTTTTCATTAAGGAAATGAAAGCACAGACCATTATAAAGAAGTGGAGGAAGAGAAAACAGAAATTGAGGTGCACGGGAGAGAGACACCTCTCCCATTCACAACTTGATAATCAATTGATCAGTGATTTTATTTGACAGTATTGTTTTAACTCCCATGTGACTTCTGGGGTTCAGAAAGTAGATTTGTGGAATAATCAAGAATGCAATACACAGGTGGTCCCCAAATCTCCTTTTACCGGTCTTCTTACCTGCTCTCCGGCAGTTATCCCAGAGTCCCTGGAGAAGCAAATTAATAAAACAGATAGAAGTACTCGGTGAGCAGAAGTACAGGTTAAGGGCTTAATGTGTCTCATAATGAGTGATACTCAGATTCAGTTAACATTTTCTAAGCATCTGTCAACCAGTCTTGGTGCAAACCATCTCTCCTAATGTTTTCTCATTTAGTAGTATCTCTTTGAGGCTAGTGTTTTTGCAGAAAAGGGTGCAAAGCTGAGAGGCATTTGCCCCATCTCACAGCCAGGAACAGTGACTGGTTTTCCCCCAGAGTGACTATCCCAATCAAGACAATAGATCTGAGTGTTCCCATTACTGTTACAAAGTAATAGTAATGAGTGTTACCAGTTGGACATCAGGGCACTTTTCTACATGCAGTTTTACTAAAACAACAAAAGACCTTGAAAAGCAGCTCTGCCTGCCCTCTGGTGGAGCTCCGCAGAAGACAGACCCCACCTTGCAACATTTCAAACCTCTGCGGAACCCAGCCAGCTTCTCTAGCTCTCCAAATCCTGCCCACACCCTGTTGCCATAACAACTGGGGAGCTCCCTGCCTGCCAGGTCATGCCTGTCCGCTCTCTGTGGCTGCATTTGAGCTGCCTTCTACCTACTTGAAATGATCTTCCCCTTCTCTGCCACCTGACAGACTCCAGGGCCTCCCTCATGACCCAGCTCTGGCATCACCCCATCTGTGCAGCTGACCCTAAGCCCCGCAAAGTACAAGGGCCCCTCCTTGTACTTGTGGGCTTTGGTTGTCCAAATTTTAATCTGGTGGGGGATTTAGCTTTAGCGGTTCAGTGACCTGCCTTGGACCGGAGTTCAATCCCTATGTACATCTCTTCTCCTTTACACCAAGTTCCTCTGAGAACAGAGGGCCCATCTTTTGTTTTCTTGCCTCAGATATAGAAGATGCTTAATAATCACTGCTCGTTTGAATGGATAATTAAGTCAGAAATTGGAAGAATTAAATTTTTTTTTAAATGTAGTAGTGCTTTGTAAACTAGAAGTATGAATTAAGGTAAAATAATACTAAGGTTCTAGCATACTTCCAAGAGGCCCTGGAAAAAGTATGACACAGGTAAAAAGTACCTCTTCTAATGTTTTGTCCTTCCTTTCAGCACCTCTTTACCTCAGTTTTCCCAAGACAGAGACACCAAATCCTCTGGCTGCCTGTCAGCACCCTTGGGCTTCTGATTTGCTATCGTCCACCACCCCAATCAAAAGTCTTGGACCTCTTTCTTTCCCTGCTTTGTCTAGCAGACTGGTCTGAAATTACACGCTACAGCAGAAAACGTAACTCTTTATGCCATAACTGCATCATCTTGGTCTTCAGCCCCAGTCTTGTCTGGATAAAACAGACTGCTTCAGCTGTATTCCCATAAAGACTTCAGGGTTACATTCAGCCAGTTCTGAATTCTGCTTCCTCTGTTCTCCACAGTGTGCCCCAAGTTCTCAGCAGTCAGACTGTCACGCTGGCATTGGGGTGAGCAATGGGGAGAGACTGAAGCCTGAACTTTGCGTGGGTCCCCATGCATCCTGCATTAGCACCCAGAGGCGCAGCTGGTCTGCCATGGTTTGCCATGGTTTCCACTCATGAAGCCTCTCCTCTCTGTGACCTTGTCTTCCCAATCTGAGCTTCCTCCAGGCCACTGTTTCCTCCAGTTCCCCACAGGGAGACAGGGACTCTTGGACACCAGATGCAGACTGCATGTGGGACCCAGGGATGAGGGAGTATCTCAGGCCCACTGGCCCAGACTACTCCCACCGCCATTTCTGCTCTGTCTCTCAGGGCCTCTCTACAGGGCTTGTGATTTTCCTGGGCTAATTCTAAGAAGTAGAGATAATCCTTCCCCATCTGGAATTCCCCAGAAATTATCTGGGTGTTTGACAATCAGCTTATTTAACCGCCCCTTCTCCCACACACACCCAGATTCAACCCAGAGAGGGAGGAGAACACAGACAGCCATCTCTCTAGCTTCTCCTTCCTGCTCTGGAAGCGTTTTCTCCTCTAGAAGCTCATTTTCCCTTCCTTCTGGCAGAAGCCACCTTGGGGTCCATTCCATCCTTTGGATATTTCACCTTTTCCTCTCTGGAACAATCATCTCAGCCTGTGTCCTTGTGCTGATGGAAAAGGGGATGTTGGTGAATAATATCCCGGAAATGCTGCCCCAAATGTTGTCCTGTTTAACTAGTGTGTGTCACCTCCTAGAAGGTGCATCGCCTTCCATGTTAAATGAACCTAAGCTCGCTTAAGGCCCATGTGGCTGTAGGGTATTTTGGACAAGAGAAGAGGGAAGTAGGAGTCTTGAACTCTCTGACCCTCAGACCCTACCTCAAAGAGAAAGGCCACTCTCTGTGGGCAGGAAGGGCTCTGCTGGGCAGGGTGCATGGCAAGCATGAAAACAGAAATGCTTGATTTGGGGCGGAAGTGAAGTTAGCTGGGTCTTTCTCTCTGGGTGTGTGGAATTGGTTCTGCTCAGTTTGGCTGCCCTGGGAGCATGGTTCCCACACAGCCCTCCACGAAGTCCGTACCACACTCGAGTTAAAGATCCAGCCTGAAATGGCTACATTTATAAGCCCAAAACTGGACACTGGAACTTAGTCAAGTACCAGCACTGCTACCTCCAGCTGTGTCCCAGGGCTGAGAACCTCCCCTCCGAACCATAACTCGGGGTGGCGGGGGGAATCAGCTGGCGAGTGGGTCTGTCCCCGGGAAGCCTTTCCCAGGGTTTCGGCTTTGGAGGCTGGTGGGCTGGCACCCTGTCATGCTGTCGCCTCCTCTCCCCGCAGGATGGGACCGCACCCCTGTGGATCGCTTCCCAGATGGGCCACAGCGAGGTGGTGCGCGTGATGCTGCTGCGCGGAGCCGACCGCGACTCCACACGCAACGTGAGTGCCAGGGACAGGGCCCTCGGGCCGCCGCCCCACAGACCCGCCGGTGTTTACCTACTCTGCGGCGCACCTGGGCTGCCTCCCAGACTCCACCTGCTCTTTAGTTGGAAAACGAAGTCCAGATCGGTGGAACCTTAGCAGGTGGTGCTGGCTGTCTTCCACCAACAGCGACTTCTGGAGTGAATGGGGAGACTGAGTCCCCTTAGACCCGGGGGGGGAGGGTCCTGCCTCAGCGGTGCCACAGCCCCGCTGCTCAGCCTCCCCCAGGTGCCTGCTAACCGCACTACACTCTGATTCTGCCTCCTTTGGCCCCACAGCAGCCCCTTGGGCTCACAGGAACAGCTTGGGGAGAACCAGCTGAGCTGGGCTCTTTGCTCTGTTTCTCCCTGTATACGACTTCTTTGCCATCGCCTTACCTTTGCTTATGCGATCCAGCTTCTCTCCATATGCGAGGGGGAGAAATCTGAAGGCACATTCCTGACCACTTCACTGTCTTCTGTCCTCTCCTCCTTCCCACCACCGCTGAATCCAGGAAGGAAATAATCCCCTACTCCTACCTGTTTCTTCTGTAGCTGCAGCCTAATGTCAGGGAAGGTTGGGCCCTGCCACACACTGGTAAGGAAGGGCCCCGAAGACAACCTTCCACAAGCGCTGTACCTTAAAGCAGGAGACTCCACGGAAGCCTCCTTGGAAAATCTCTTCTGGGGCCAAAAAGTGATGATGGGATGACAGAAGCTGACTGTCCGTGAATTTAAATTTGGCTTTGCCCTACTCTGCCCCTTCCTCCTCCTTCTCTTCCTCTCATTCTTTTTTTCTTTTTTAAACACATCTCAATCTTTCCTCCCTCTTCCCCTACAAAGACATATAAATTTTTAAAACAGTAAATCAAGTTCAACCATAGTTTAAGTCATAAATGATAGTTAAATGGTTTTTGCTAAGTCATTAATAACAGCTCTTGGGGCCATCAGTGCCTTAAAAAGATGAGCTTGGAATTCTCCTTGTCTCTGACCCAGCGCACTGAGGGACTGGACAGGTTCTAGTATCGGGGTTCCTCGAGCATATAAACCAGTGATGGCGAACTTTTTAGAGCTGTCAGTGATACAGACTGTTGTAGCACACGTGCCATAGGTTCTCCACCGCTGATACAGTCCCATATAGTGTCTCACACTCTTTCGTGCAAAATTAACTGCTTACTCTGCTGTAGAAAGCTACATAGAGACACTGCCAATTTATGCTTAGTTACACCTTTTGCCTGTTTCTGACACACATACCTTGCTGCCAGTTCTCAACTGCCACTTTGTTCTGAGCTAACGCAACTTTTATTTCCCATTCTGTGCTCAGGATGGTACTACAGCATTGCTGAAAGCAGCCAACAAGGGGTATAATGATGTTATAGAAGAGTTGCTTAAATTCTCACCCACTCTTGGTCTTTTGAAGGTAAGACCTAAGAAAAATTATACCAATCTATGAAGGAAATAGGTTAGAAAGAGGCCCATACTGGGGATTCCAGTAGAATTTTGGTTTAATCAGCCTGGTCAGTGTATTCTTTTTACTTTCTCCCTTTCTTTTTCTTTTTATTTATTGATTGATTGATTGATTGATACTGGAACAAACTTCCAACTTGTTGCTAAAGATCCATGGCAAAAATGAGAAGATTAAAAAAAAAAAGCAAACAGAGTCTATCAGTGCCTAGTTTTCCAGGAAAAATAAAAAACCAAAATAAAAATGAAATTGGTCAATTAGAAAGTAAACCACATATGGTACCATTTGGAAGACCTGTGAAATCAAGAAAGAACAAACTGTTAGGCCCTTTTTTCTCTTATCCTGAGCAGAGAACCATTCTGCTGGGTTACCTTAAATGAAATAAAATTAGCTTCAAATGCCTGGAAATTTCAGAATATATGACTTTTCCAAGCTCTGGGTCTTCCAGAAAGCAGAGCTTAAAAACTCCTTGGTAAGATCTTATCATTTTGGACCAAACTATTTCTAAACTGTAGCATATATCAGGGGTCAGCAAACTTTGTGTAAAGCACCAGGCAGAAAATGTCATAGGCTTTGCAGGTTATATGGTCTCTGCTGAGGCTCCTCAACCCACCATGGTTGCAGGAAAGCAGTTAGAGAAAGAAACAACAAAAGAACCGGGCTGTGTCACCCATAAATATTATTTATGGGCATAGTATTTATAAAATTTCATATTTTTACATATAATAAAATATTCTCCTTATATTCTTCTGTAAAATCATTTTAAAATGCAAAAATAGCCCTTAGCTCACAGGACATACAAAAACAGGCTATGGTCTAGACTTGACCCACAGTGGGCTGCAGCCTGCCAATCCCCATGTGTGCACACCCCAGTTTCTTAAATAGAGGACGCTACACCTTTTCTAACACGGCATGGCGATGTAGTAGTTTGGGGACTGCGCCCTCAGGTCTGTCTGTGTGTATTAAATCTATTCACCCTTGAATAATCCAAGGGCTTTTAGGATACCTTTATATTTTTAGACTCCATTCTTGCTGTCAGCTGTTACAGAGCTGCTGTTGTCAGTGCCCTGACCCTCTCTACTGTCCTAATGAGCCATTTTTAACTTTCCACAAACCTGGAAGCCAAAGGCAGAAAGCTGCACTTATTAAAGATTTTTGTAAAATAAGAATATATCATCTATAAAGTGAATTCTATGAACAAAAGGAAGGAGCTTTAGAAATAGACTTTGCAATATCTGGTCTTGCTTCCAATGGGTCTTTTTCTTTTTAATTAGCTATGTTGCAAATAGGCAGTTGATACATTGGTTAAGATTTAGGCTTGCTGGGCTGGGAATTTAACTCAGTGGAGTTGCTGCCTGTCTTGCAAGGTCCTGAGTTCGATCCCAAGTACCACACACACACACAAAACAATTTTGGCTTGCTGAAGTGTTACCAGGTTAGTGAATTCCCTTACGTATTATGGAAGCAACCATAGAGAAATGCTACTTTGCTGGAACTTTTCTTTGGGTGTGACATTATGTTTTTACAAAATCCAAGTGGTTCTATGAGTCATTAATTAGGATACCAAGCTTACTTTTGGGTACTACTTATAGATCTATGTACCTTCTGGAACCAATGTCCTGTTTCTACTCATTGTTGTATCAGTTTGGTTACTCTCCTCTCTGGAATCCATCTACGTGCTGCTTTCAGCTGCTCCCTAATTTCAGTAAGCATTTGTGCAAAATTTCTTGTCAGCAACCCCTCTACTAGGCCCTTTGGTGCTCAGATATGATCTAACTCGGGCTCAGGGAAATGGCCTTAGCCCACAGACTTCCCCTTAAATCCGTAATTCTGCAGTCTCTCCTGCTGGCCCCAGTGTTTTAGGGCAGTGTTTCTGGCTATCAACAGACACTGGCCACATGTCTGGTCCTCCATTCCTGCCGGAAGTAGCTCACCAAAAGTGCAAAGACTGGGCCGGGGATTTAGCTCAGTGGTTCCACCGCCGGCTCCTGCGTTTGATCACCGGCACAAAAAAAAAAAAAAAAAAAAAAAAAAAAAAAAAAAAAAAAAAAAAAAAAAAAAAAAAAAGTGCAGAGAGTTCAAGAAAAGACAGTGTGGCCCAGCATTGCTGTTTTTTCTGCAGCAAGTCTGTAAAACCACCCAAGCAACCATGAAGTCATGTGGACCCCAGGGGCTGGCTTCCGTGTTTTACTTTCGAAGAACATTGGCAAGACAAGGATCTAGCTCAGTGGCACTGCCCCTGCCTCGCAAGTGCAAAGTCCTGAGTTTGTTCCCCGGTACCAAAAAAGAACACAGGCGGTATTTCTACTGACCACAGCTGTGTCTAGGAAGGTGATATCAGGTGGTGATGTGACTTTGAAACTATAAGGGAGGATAAGTAAGGCCTTGCAGTCTCATTGCCAAGATGGTTTACGATGAAAGCCAAGCCAAGTGCTTCTGGCTGTTGGTCGCTGCTGACACACACTGTCATTTTCTCTTAGAACGGCACAACGGCTCTCCACGCGGCGGTGCTAAGCGGGAATATTAAAACAGTTGCCCTGCTCCTGGAAGCAGGGGCGGACCCAGCCCTGAGAAACAAGGTACTCACTTACCCTGTCTGTGCAGAGACCAGGCAGCACCCTCCTAAGCTTCTCTCTGGCTCTGCTCACTCTTCATACTTACGTGGTGGTGGCAGGGGCATGCAAGGTTACTAGTAGCAGTTTGTTCCTGGGTGGCACGTGGGGACCCACATCACCAGTGCTTTTCCATTAACAGCAGAGTGGGCTCCTGACAGGGATGGGGGTGGATTGTTACAAGGAGTGAGCAGTGTTCTGTCGTCAAAGATGCCTGCTGAAAACATCTGCTTCTGGTAGTTTATCACCTTCTCCATGAGTTGGGTGGTCTTGTCTCAAGAGTTGCTCTTGCTGTTTATTGACTACGTGGGAGAAAATGTTGCTTTTCTGTTGTTAATAGGGCTGCACGCCTAGGTTGTAACACCACCTCTTTTTTTTTAAATATATAATTCAAAATCCTTGGTTTACAGTTAGGCTAAACTTGGAAGTCAGCGAGTGCACAGTAACAGTTGAAGAAATGATTGTCATTGGACTTAACTCCTGTCAGCATGTGCTTTAAGCCGTACTTACTTAATGTACAGATGGAGGGGGAAGAGGCAAGGTCTAAGTGACAAATCACTGAGGGAGGACGGGGCTGACACTTATTAATGGGGGGAAAATGAAAAGAAGTTTTCGCTTTACTACATACTCACATTCTCTAAATTTTTTTAAGTGTCTGTTATTTAACATTAACATTTTTAATAATAAAAACAAAAACAGAGATAGAGGTATAGCTCAGTGGTAGAGCACTTGCCTAGCACCTATGAGACCCTGAGTTTGATTCCCAATGTTGCAAGAAATAAATACATAAATATACAGCTTTATACATATATATGTGTGTGTGTGCATATATACATATACAGTATACACTTCATACTACACACAAACGCACATGCACATATATACATATATAGTGGACCCTTGACTTATGAACTCAATTTGTTTGTGAGGGCTGGTTGTAACTCAGGTTGATTGATGAAGGCTCAGGCTCCTCTACACACCCTTCAAAATCTCTCTCCTGTATACAGGCAGATCTCAGTGTCCTTAGAGAGACATCAACCCAGGATTTCTCACTTAACACCACACAGGAAAGGATGTTGTAATGTTCCTTCCAGAACTCTTTAAGGGTTAAGTCTGTATCTGAGCACACCTGTAATCCCAGCACTTGGGAGGCTGAGGCAGGAGGATCGCCATAGTTCAAGGCCAGCCTGGGATACATGGGGAGTTTGAGGCCAGCCTGAGCTATGTAGTAAGACCCTGTCTCAAAAAAAAAATAGAAAAAGAAAAAAAATCTGTCTCTCTATCTGGAAGCATAAGCAGCCAGCACTCAGGTCATAACTCAAGACTTTGTTCTTAAGTTAAAACTCAAATTCAGATTGTAACCCAAGTTGTTCATATGTCAGTCGTAACTCAAGGGTCCACTGTATATAATTTTGTGACATTTTGAAAAGAAACCTTTAAGAAGTTCCAGTTACACAAGCCAAAGCCAAGGGTCACTTTTTTCCCCATTTTATTTAGCATATAGAAGTACTACTTCCCTACTCCTGATATTGAATTGCTTGAAGATGACATTTCTGCTTATCTCCTCCTGAGATACTCAGATTGGTTTTCCACGAGCTGGCCTAGCTCTGCAATAAGCCACCTGAAGTCAGAATTGCCTTTCTCTTCCACTTTATCTTTGGACCTTGTTCACAGACTTCCAAGAAACCAGTCTTTGTTGGTCAGGTATCCAAGGCTTAATTAAGGCAAAGGGAACACAGTAGTACCTTCATACAGAAACTGAAAATGCGGGTCCCCTGTGTCTCCTAGAGTAGTGGAATAACCATCAGGGTAACGGTTACAGGCATTCTCCAGCTGGTGAAATGCTAGACTCTAACCCTCCCTGGGGCTACATGAGTTGATGTGTGGGCACTCATGTTGCAACCTCATCCTGGGAAAGCTCTGAGTCTTAGGAGTAGCTGCCCACAAAGGAAGAAAGGAAGCCCTCTCTGCCCATCAGCCATAAGAGAAGCCAGCATCTTTAATGGCAGCTCCAGAAGCAAGGATGCTGGGATTCTGGAAGCTACTAGAACTCTTGAAAGGATATTCTTGGCATTCATTCATTCAACAAACACTGATGGAACACCCACAATACACTGTGCTCTGCACTGGGCTTGCAGTGGTGAATAAGATCCACATAGCCTCTGCTTTCACTGAGTGCAGAGGTTAGCATAGAATAAAGACAGTTAAGCAAACAATTGCAATACAGAGGGACAAAAACTAAAGCAAGAAAGTAGCAAAGAGTGACTTCTAAACTAGTGTGTAAACTCTTCTGCTCCAGGGTTCCCAGGCCTTCTGCTCTGGGCCTTGGGTGCAGATGCCACGGAGAGGATTAAAGTGGTGATAAGAGCCACTCCTCCCTCTATAGCCACCCCCAAGGGTACAGGGGTCTTGCGGTTCCCACACCTCCAAGTGAGCCCTGAGAACACATCTCCTCCCAGGAGCAATGCAGAACCCAGGATGTCAACCTCCAGTTCTGCTGCATCATGAAAGAGATGGCCACTGGGGCTAGCAGCTTGGGGCACGAGCCATCATAATAATCCACGCAAGTGCAGCAACCTGAGAACTCGGGGGGGGCAGGCAGGAGACAGGAGGATGGACCCCAGGATTTTACAACTATGAGGGTGACACATGGAAGTGTAATGTGATTGACCAAACATTGACAACAAAGTTTGTGGGCATAAAGCTTTTTTTTTTAAGAGCAAAAGATACAGACATGCAAGTAGTGTCACATGGCCACTAAAAGTCAGCAGGCTGGTAGACAGGTTCAGCTCTTTAGCTTCTTCCTATCTGCAGTTGCTCTCTAGCTGTGTGCCAGCAGCGCACCACAGAACAGTGACTAAAGTGAACAGTACAGTTAATCCTGAGTGTTTCTCTGGGACTAGATGGAGCTGTTTACCTGCAGCAATTCTCAAGACCCAAGGTGTTAAGCCTTGCAATATCTGCTCCTGTAGAAACTGAGCCAGTGGTAGACTTTGACCCCATAGAGGGACCTCTGGTCTACAACATAGCATTTCCTCTCTGCTTCAGTCCAGCGGCAACATCAGAGGTCCTGGGTGGGCAGAGTGCAGCTACAACACATGCTGCGTGTCAGACAGCTGTGGCAAAGTCCTAGTTCCCACCAAGGGAGGTCCCAGCCAGAGAGGAGGGATGGGGAACTGCATCCAGAATAGAAGGTGGGGACTACAAGAGCTTCACCTAGGACCATAGTGTAGATAAAGCAGTGAGGATTCCAGGATCTGCTGTAGGACAAAAAGATGATACTGGGGATTGAACTCAGAACCTTGTGCTTGCTGCTTGCCAGGCAGGCACAGTGCCACCCGGCGATCCTCACACTTTTCTACCTGGCCCCATACACCCATTTGATTCTCTGTAGCTGCTCATGAGCCTTGGCCCCCGGGGGGCTTGAAGACCTCTTGATCACACAGAGATATTGTCTGCCTTTGTCACCACACTGACATCTGCTCTAATGGTGTAAAAGCAGTGGTGGGTAAAACTCCTGCTGCCTTAGTACACATCAGACCAGGAGCCCCAAACCATCCTGCAAAACAGTTTACAATCCATTATTAGCTACTGTATATATTTTGTTGATTATTTTACAAAGCTATCAGCTTTGCTTAAGAATGTCTTAAATGAAACAGTAAAAAAATGTTGATTTCATTAATTTTGGCCCCTACTATACATCTTCTTAGGATTCTGCATGGCAAATGGAAATTTATGTAATGCACTTTTGCTGTATGCTGAAGTATGATTCTAAAGAAGAATTATTTGAGTTGGAGAGGGAAACAGCCACTTTTTCATAGAACACCATTTTTCAAACAATTTGCATCCATTTCTAGGAGCTTAATAGCTTACCAGTCCAAAAAGGTTTTTCTGATATTAATGAATGTGATTTCCATATAGCACAATAAAATGTGCCAACATTTAGTGGATCTGCATAACTCAGTGAACAAGTATTTTCCAAGTGAACAGTGCATATTACAAATCGTGCATGGGAAAGAGGTCCATGTATAAGTAGATGGATCTAGCTAGGTGTGCACACCTGTAATCCCAGCATTCTGGGAGGCTGAAAAAGAATGCAAATTTGAGCCAAACCGGGGCAATTTAGCGAGACCCTGTCCCAAAGTAGTTAAGGGCCAGAGATTTAGCTCAGTGGCACCATGCCTGGCTCACAAGGGCAAGGTCCTGTTTATATATATATAAAATGACTTATAAGATGTAGACCCTGCTCTCCAGGATATTACTCTGGTGAAGGTCTTACTAGATAGAAAAATAACTTTAACAATGAGATAAGAAAGCAGGAGACATTTATACATTTGAAGGAGATTTTTTAAACATTAATATAAAAGAGAGCCCAGTAGGGATTTTTTCATTACTCCAGGGGAAAGTATGGGTCAGGATAAAATGACTTATAAGATGTAGACCCTGCTCTCCAGGATATTACTCTGGTGAAGGTCTTACTAGATAGAAAAATAACTTTAACAATGAGATAAGAAAGCAGGAGACATTTATACATTTGAAGGAGATTTTTTAAACATTAATATAAAAGAGAGCCCAGTAGGGATTTTTTCATTACTCCAGGGGAAAGTATGGGTCAGGTGCCCTCTCTGGGGGCTTTAAAACCACACCAGAATTCGCTAATGTTCATCTCTCCTCTTTCAGGCCAATCAACTTCCGGCAGAACTAACCAAGAATGAACGTATGCTGCGTCTCCTCCTAAGTAAGGAAAGTGACGGGAAGAACTAACTTAGTCCCACATTTGACAGAAAGAGAGAAACCTTATCCACATTTTCAAAAGAGAAATTGCTTGCAAACAAGGATGGAAATGCTTTTACAAACAAACATGCCCTGAAAGCCCGCCCTGTGGGTCCCTGGGCTTTGTGCACCAGCTGGACAAGAGAAGCCCAGGGGCCCCTTTCCTCAGGTAGGGGGACCTCTCACACTGCCCTGGCACTCAGCTCCGGGCCTGGCATAGGCACAGGTCCCACAGAGACTCATTGGCGACAGTGCTAGCCTGAGTCTCCAGTTAAACTTGAAGTTAGATAGTTTCCTGTAACAAGCAAGAAGACAGAAAGCTTTGCTCCTCTAAAAGATGGAAAGACTGATCTTCAACGAATGGATGTGCTCTTACTTACTCATTAAATGTAGGAGTGCTAAAGAATATAGATTCATCCTAGTTTGCAGATATATGTATGTCATTCCAGTATAAAATGTTTTCTTCCACCTAAAGACCATGACCATGGTTAGTGGGAATCAATAGTGCTCAGTATGCATTCTTGGAAAACAACTTCCAACATTCCACCACATAACATTCAAAGATGGACTAGTGCACTACAGAAAAGACAAACGCTATGTTTGTTTGTTAATCCTCACCTCATTCCCGACATGTAAAAATTACTTTTGTCGCGAGCCGGATTGCCTTGGGCCACTCGGTCTGCGACTACAGGGTGCCTGAACTGGCGACGTGTGAGCAAAGAGGCACACACTTGATACACAAGGAGTTTACTTTAGTTCCTCATCTCCGGATCTCTACCCCGCTCTCTCTCCCGGAAGGGGTAGCAACGTATATACCATAATGCAACCAATCAGCATACAGAGAACAGATTATTACCTTATAAGGATACATCAAACACCCACGGGAACATATCATGTGATCTACAGGAAAACTAAACCTAATACAAAATGGCTTCATAGGCTGTATCATAAAATGGCGGAGGGGCGGATCTATGGTTCTCCACAACTTTCACTTGCTCGACATTGTGGATATGCTAGGATACCAATACAAATTTGGAAATCCAGAACATTACAAACCGTGAAAAACTTAGGCTTGTCTCTTTGAGCACTTATTTTGGTCCTATTTCTGGGAGTCTATTTCCTAGGCCATGAGTTAGTAGAACTAACATACTGCACAATCTTCAACTTCCAATACCACTTTACTTGATCCAGTGGCTCTGAGGTCCTGAGATAAAATGATTCAGACCCGTACGAGGTGCGGCTCTGACTCTTGGAGGAGTGTAAGTACTAAAGGTGGCTGTCAGTATGTAATAAGCACTCATCTATGCATGTCCCTGGGTTGGTGGATCCCAAGAAAGCATCCTGAATTTATTGAATTATTCCTTCAGTGGCTAAAAATTGTATTCAATGCACTTTAAGATCAGCGGTGTCTAACTGCCTCTGTCGGTGCCTATCTGCACTCACAACAGCTAAACCCTCTCCTATAATCTACCATAAACACCAGTATTGTTTCTGTTATCTGCAAACTGTTAGTTTTCCTGCTTATGTCTATATAAAGACACATTAAAATGGAGGGACATGTTATAATCCCCAAATAACTTTTATTTAACTAACTTCCTGTGGTACTAAAAATCGTCTTTAAGTCAGTAATGACAGGATGTGATTTTTGAAATTAGTAAATATTCCCTTAAAACATTTATGATTTAAGAAGGAGAAGGATTAGAGGGAGGGGAATGAGAAAAAAGAGAAGCAAGATATATCATGTGCAGGTGCAAATCCCCTATGATGAATGGTATCATTACGTATATCGAAAATGTACCAATAAATGCTTTGCTTTAAAAAAAACTGTTTATGATTAATGCCATAAAAATCAGTGTATTTTGGTCAGTGTCACAAGCAAAGCCAGTCATGAGCAACTCACAGCCTTCAGAGACTCAACACTAGCTATGCAAAAATCCTCAGCCTCATTTCAAGACAAAAGATTAGACAATTCCATCGCCACAACACCAGCCATGAAACATCTTGGTCACTAGAAAGCAGTGCCAATTTTTTATTGACATTCTTTTATTCAGCAAAGTTATACAAATACACATTTTCTCTTATGGGAGTTTCAAAACATTATTCATCTTGAGGAAGAAAATAATGTGGCCTTAAGTACTTTATATTTTTCCTTTAGTTAATCCTTTTGCCAATAATAGTTGCTCATCACGGATGCAAAACAAAACAGTATTATGGGTACTGACAAATTACAAACAATGTTTTTACTAAGGCATTTTGTCATTGGCCTAGTCCTTAAGTGGTTTTATGTGGATAATATTTTTGGACAATACTGGGGCCGTAAGAATGAAGCTAGTAGCTTTAACAACATTTAACATAGGCCTTCTGGTAGGTGAGGGGCGTATACCTAAGAAGGATCATGTTTAATCTAGATGAGATTGAATTATCCATAGCGGGAAAGATGAATAATCATTTGTCAAAGACTAAACAAAAGGTCTGTTATTTTAAAAATTGCACTCAGTTTGCACACATTTAAGTGATTCTTGTTTTATTTAACCCAGTTCACAGTTCAGTTAAACTGTGCATCCTAAGACTTAAAACTAGTGATTCCTGTGCAAATCATCTGCTAAATTGAACTGCAAAAGTTTGTAATTACCTACACCTGTTTGATGACACATTCCGTGTTAAAATTTAAAATAAAGTTAATGTATGAATGAGTTTGCCTTTGCAGTTTTTTTCCCTTTGTTCTTAGGAATCATTTGTACAAGATTTTAAAATGAATTTTAGAAAGAATAAATCAGTTCTCTTAGTAAATATGTTGATACTGGGATCTTGAATAATCTTTAAGTTTTACTTTACCAATGGACCAATGATTTTGTTGTTTCTACTATAGAGAGCATTTGTGATAGTTCCTAAAGGTTTTCATTCCAGACAAAAATTCCTGGGATAGTCACTGAAGATAGTGAAAAGGAGAACTTCCTGGTTTCTGTTTTTATGTTTATGGTGCTCCTGGCCCTGCAGTCCTTTACAGTAGCTTTCTCTTGTGAAATACCCAGTAAGTTTGCAGAGCTTCCTGTGTAGGAAACGCATTTGTGGCAGTGACATCAGGAATCTTGAGAAGCCCCCACAGCCATTCTGCTTTCCCTCTGTGCTCTCTACCCTCTGCGACCACCAGCAGCTACCTTTCATCAGTTACCCACCCTGGGAGGGGTAGCGTGGAAAAGGAGAAGAACAGACTAAAAGTGTGGAGCCAGACAGTGATGCCTGCATTTTGAGCTGGGCCTGCAGGTTGTAGGGGTGAGAAGCTGAGTTCCTAATTTTATACGAGGAGGTTTGGGCACAGGAACTGGGTGAGTTTCATTGATGGTAACCACAGGATGCGTCACCCATTATTAACAACATAAACCAACACCCAATGTTTGCTAAGGGATTGATACATAGATAATCTCTTACAGTTTATATGCATCTTTTCATTTACTCCTGATAACAGCCCTGTGAAACAGGCACAGCTAATCCCTAAGTTGGAGTTGAGAAACCTGGCTTTGGGAGGCAATTATTATGACATGTGACAGTCTTTCCTGTGGTTGTCCCACATCAGTTCATGTCCCTTTTATTTATTCATGCTTCAAAATGCTAGGAAAAAAATACAAACACAAAGCATGTTATGTGCTGCTATGGCTGGAATATGGCTGTTTAGCGACTTAATTCCCCAATGTAATGGTATAAGGTGGGGTCTTGGGAGGTCATTGGTTTACGATCATTCTCCTGGAAGAAGCAGTGCTGGTCTCACAAGTGGTTGGATCTCCATGGAGCAGGTTGATTCCCAAGAGAGGTGGTTATAGAAGAGAAAGCTGGTGCCTCCTTTCTTCCCGTCTGGCCATGTGATCTCTTCCACACACACAGCCACCTGACTGCACTTAGCCCTTAGCTAAAAGTGTGTGTGATTAGTGTGTCTGGGAAGATCTTAGAACCTTTCCTGGTACCTTTACCTTTATTGTTAGCAGCACTCCAAAAATCATTTTAAAATATATGAATTTATGATTTAACAAGTAGAAGATGTGAAAGATGCCTTGTCAGCTTTATCTCTGTCAGCTGGGAGAGTGACTTCCCCTAATTCTGATTCTTCTTTCCTCTCTCATGAGGACATAACCCTCTGATATTCAATGAGGGAAATGATCTTTGTGTTCCTACTTGCCGAAAAGCTCTGAGAGTCAACTTTGAACGAAAGCTTTCAGTTTGCAGGATTCAGACTCTATTTTGGAAAAGATTTAAAAAAAAAAAAAAAAGCACCCCATGCAAATGAGTGTGTCATGGGACAGAATCCTCTGGAGTAGGGAATGCCTGTCTGAAACCTGACTGCTGGATCGCAAGGTTTCTCCACAGCGCTAGTGTCCTGAGTGGAAGTGATACCACACCCATGATCAGATTAACTGTCAAATCCAGCATCCTTGCCAGGGTAACATCTAACCATAAGTCTGACCAGCAATGACCCATTTAGTTATGAGTCAGTTGTCACCATTGGCACTAAAGTCATGAGTTGCAGCTGTAGGCTGTTTTAAATGAACATGTCTGTAAAATTCAGCTTGCTTAGTAGGGAGCTCTAACAGAACCCAAAATAATTAAGGCCATTGCCGGGGATTTAGCTCAGCAGTTTGGTGGCCTGCCTTACAAGCGCAAGGACCCGAGTTCAATCCCTGGTACCAAAAATAAATAAATAAATAAATAAATAAATAAATAAGGGCATATGGTGAACATAAGAACCCGTTGTTTTATACCATGGAAAACTATTCAACAACAAAAAAGGTTAAACTACTCTACAAGCTGTGCAGAAGAGCCATAGACAGAATGTTGAGGGGAAGAAACCAGATACAAATGACTGATTCCATTTACATCAAGTTTAAGAACAGGCAACAACAATTTATTGTGATAAAAGTCAAAATAGTGTTACCCATGGGCTGGGGATTTAGCTCAGTGGTTTTGCTGCCTGCCTTGCAAGCACAAAGACTTGAGTTCGATCCCCGGTACCAAAAAAAAAAACGTGTCACCTTTTGGTTGGTTGGTAACTGGGAAAAGGCATAAATGAACTTCACTGAGTGTTAAAAATGTTCCGGACGCTTCTGGGCATTGGCCCCTGAGTGGTGTGGCCCCGTGGTCTCTTTCTCAGGTTGTATTCTTATCCTTTGATAAGCTCCCTCCTTCCAGGCACAGAACTCGTCTGTGTGATGAACAGAATAATGGCATGTCACTTTGGAGGCTGGAACTTGAAAGGGACTGGCGTTTTGGGGCACTCTCTTCCGGGTCCTTCCCTCCGGAGGAAGCAGCTGCCATGTTTGGGGGACACTGAGGCAGGCATGAAGAAGAACCAAGGCCGCCTGCTCGAAGCAAATTTGAAGCAGCTCCTGTAGCCCCATCAGGCTTCAGGGTAGTACCCTAGACTGACATCTTGACCACAGCCTCGTTTGAAACTGAGCCAGAACCACTTGGAACCACGCAAATCTCTGGCTGGCAGAAACTGGAATATAATAACTGATTGCTTTTTTTTTAACCTATTGAGTTCTTTTGATGTTTTGTTTTGTTTGTTTTTGAGGTACTAGGGAGCAAACCCAGGTATGTAGTACCTCTGAGCTACACCCCCAGCTCAAAACTGGATCTCCGCATAACTCCTTGCACCAGCCTAATTCCAGGTGGATGGTTATTTTTATGAAATTGCTAAAATTTTAC